GCGGGGCCGGGTCACCCGCGCGCGCGATGCATCCTGTATTGGTTTTATTCCATCGGAGGCCATGTTAAGATGAAAACTCAATTGTCGAAACCCAATGTAAAAATTCATTCTCTGGGCCCAAGAAGCGGCCATATAAATGTGGAAAATATACAAACCAATACAATATGCGAAGCGCGCGGGCGCGCTGGTGACCCGCGCGGTGCCGGGTCACCCGCGCGCGCGCGCGATGCCTCCTGTATTGGTTTTATACTCGGAGGCCATGTTAAGTTGAAAACTCAATGATCAAAACCCAATGTAAATATTCATTCTCTGGGCCCAAGAGGCGGCCATGCCAACGTCAAATATAGAAAACGCAATACAATCTGCGAGGCGCGCGGGCGCGCTGGTGACCCGCGCGGTGCCGGGTCACCCGCGCGCGTGCGCGATGCCTCCTGTATTGGTTTTATACAATCGGAGGCCATGTTAATATAAAACTCAATGATCAAAACCCAATGCAAATATTCACTCTCTGGGCCCAAGAGGCGGCCATGCCCACGTCAAATATAGAAAACACAATACAATGGGCGAGGCGAGCGCGGGCGCGCTGGTGACCCGCGCGGGGCCGGGTCACCCGCGCGCGCGAGCGCGATGCATCCTGTATTGGTTTTATTCCATCGGAGGCCATGTTAAGGTGAAAACTCAATTGTCCAAACCCAATGTAAAAATTAACTCTCTGGGCCCAAGAGGCGGCCATATAAATGTGGGAAATATACAAACCAATACAATATGCGAAGCGCGCGGGCGCGCTGGTGACCCGCGCGGTGCCGGGTCACCCGCGCGCGCGCGCGATGCCTCCTGTATTGGTTTTATACAATCGGAGGCCATGTTAAGTTGAAAACTCAATGATCAAAACCCAATGTAAATATTCATTCTCTGGGCCCAAGAGGCGGCCATGCCAACGTCAAATATAGAAAACACAATACAATATGCGAGGCGCGCGGGCGCGCTGGTGACCCGCGCGGTGCCGGGTCACCCGCGCGCGCGCGCGATGCCTCCTGTATTGGTTTTATACAATCGGAGGCCATGTTAAGTTGAAAACTCAATGATCAAAACCCAATGTAAATATTCATTCTCTGGGCCCAAGAGGCGGCCATGCCAACGTCAAATATAGAAAACACAATACAATATGCGAGGCGAGCGCGGGCGCGCTGGTGACCCGCGCGGGGCCGGGTCACCCGCGCGCGCGCGCGATGCATCCTGTATTGGTTTTAGACAATCGGAGGCCATGTTAAGTTGAAAACTCAATGATCAAACCCCAATGTAAATATTCACTCTCGAGGCCCAAGAGGCGGCCATGTAAACCTTGGCAGGTCTTAGCAGCATTTCCATTCCCCTCCGTTTGGGTAACTGGAAGAAATGGGCCGCCACCAATGGATAGACGCCCCCCGCCAGTCAAGCCGCGCCGAGGGTGCGACGGCGCCCAGGGGATGGGCAGATAGACGGACAGAAGATGCGCAGACGTATCGGTGCGACGGCGCCTGGGGGGATAGATGTAGATACATGGATACGCCGCGCCAGCCAAGCAAAGCCGACGGTGCGGCGGCGAACGCTTTTTGAATATTGACCAGAACGGAGATCAATACAGGGGGAACCCCCTTATATTCAAAACAAATACCCAACCAAGGAGGGTTGGGAAAAACGAATACCCAACCATGGAGGGTTGGGAAGAAAATCTGGGAATTTCATTTTTTCCACATCCTCGATCTTCGAGGGTTGGGAGCGGGAAAACGTGAGAAGGCGACAAACATTGGAACAACAATTGAAAATCAATGATTCTACTTTGGGCTCTCTCGGGAGGGCTCTCGCAACTCTCTTGGGATGCTCTTGGAGCTTTGTCGGGGTCTTTGGGGGGCCTTTCAGGGGTCGGGGGTGTGTTAGTGGCTTCTGGGGGGTCCCGCTCATGGGTCCATCTTGGGCCTGTTCTGGGGTAGTCTGGGGCTGTCCTGGGCGCCTCTTCGGCAGTCTTGGAGCCTTCTTGGCCCGTCTTGGGGCCGCCCTGAGGGTCTCTTGGGTGGTCGTGGGGCGGTCTTGGGCGGCTCTTCGGCGCTCTTGGACCGATGGAAGCTCGAAAACATGCCAAACATCTAAAAAAACACATGAAAATATATGATGTTGGCCTCTTCGGGCCGTCCCTGGACGCCTCTCGGACCTCTCTTGTGGTCTTGGAGGTTACCTGGGAGCCTCGAGAGCCGTCGAAGGCTGACTTGGGCTGCTTGGGAGCGTCTTAGACAATCCTTTCGCATTCTGGGGGCTCCTGGGAGTCGTCTTGAGCCCTTCTGGAGCGCTGCGGAGGCTCCCCAGAACGCTCGGAGGAGCGGTACCGGGAGCGTTCCCGAGATGTCACGGGGAGGTGTGGCACCCGGTGCCGGAGGGGGGGGGGCGGTATTTATTTATATGATATAATATATGTAAATGTATATATATATATATGTATGTATATATATATATATATGTTCGGGAAACTCGATGTCGAATTCAAATGCGGACGAGACCTGGGTTATGATTCAAGATTTCGGCGTGCGCGCGCGACGACGCGCGTTCGCATTTCGTTCAATTTCGTCATAAGGAATCCTTGTGACAGCACGCGCACAGGGGCGTCCGAACGATTTCGACATGCGCGCGCGAGAAGCCCGGCTAGTAGCATTGTAAGAACATCGAAGAGAATCGATGGTGCTCTGAAGAATTCCCACAGAGCGCGGGCGAAAGCTGTTCTTGACAAAGTTCTGGTTTCGAAACCATGTGTTTTTAATTGCTTTCCGGACCCCATTGCTTTTTGCGTCAGCCTGGGCGAGTACGTGCCACTTGAAAAGAAATTGGAACGAGAAATCATAGAGATAGAGAGAGAGAGAGAGAAAGACAGGGAGAGAACGATAGCGAGAGCGAAAGCGGCATAGAGACAGAGAGAGAGAGAGACAGAAAGAACGAGAGAGAGAAAAAGAGAGAGAGAGGAGGCGCCGTGCATGTCTGAGGTGCATTGGCAGAGTGGTGACACGACTGACGCAGCCATTGGCGCTGCTGTGAACTGGACTACCTGGAGAGCATTGGATGGCATTACGTGGGGCCCCCCACGGCGCTCAGACTCCAAAAGAATGCTCTTCCACGCCCCGGGACCCCCCGCGAGGCGGCAGCCAAACGGCCCAAAACCGCCACAAAATGGCAGCAAAACCGGCGCGAGACGGCCCCGAGTCCTCGGGAGCCCCTCTCCACCGAGTCCCAGTACCTCACTGGCGGCTCCTCAGCGTGGACCCTCTAAGCACCAACATGGCCCCCAAAAGGTATTCGGAACAAGCCCCAAGAAGGCATCCCAGCAACCGTGCGGTCCTACGGCCGTGTCACGCTGCAGCGGTGCTGTGCTGCTTCCCCAAGCACGGTGGTGGACACGCGCGGCGGCGCGGCTGGATAGAGAAACGGAGCAGGAGGGCGGGCAAGCTCTTGGTGGAGGACAAGGGGGTGTGTCCTCTTCGCGTGGCCGACAGCGCCATACACAGCCATCCCGCAGCGTCTGCAGAGCGGTGAAGCGGGCGGACCACCAATTCTGCTCGAAACGCCCGTGAGATCCTCACAGGCAGGAAGAAGAATTAATTATCAACATAACTGCAAGCGGGAACACTTCGTCGAAAAAGGGCCAGCCGATGACACGTGTCTGCAATAACGACAAACCAAATAAGCATGACCTCAACACGCTAAAATGCGCCGGCCCCCTTGCGGAGCCATCAGGCTGCGAGGATTAAGCTTGCTGCTCCCTCCGCCAGTTCCAGTTTCCGGTTTCCATTGTTACAGTGCTGCTTTCTGCTTCCTACTGTAAATTGTTACTGTCCGCGCAAGGGGGGGAAGCGAAAACTGCCTTGGTTAGCGTCCCCCAGGAGGGTTCTCAGAATTCCTGGGGGGGTAAAAATTGGCACCCTCTCTTACAGATCGGCGGGATTCGGCGGGGTAAGGGTCCAAAAACACAAGCGATTTGCCACATTTCTGAAATTCGGTGGCACCCCTCACGCAGATCGGCGGGGTCAGTGTCTGAAAACACATGGGATTTGCCACATTTTTGAAATTCGGTGGCACCCCTCATGCAGATCGGCGGGGTCAGGGCCAAAAAACACAGGGGATTTGCCGCATGCTTTAAATTCGGTGGCACCCCTCACGCAGATCGGCGGGGTCAGGGTCCAAAAACAAAAAAGATTTGCCACAGTGCTGGAATTTCTACCACCCCTCACGCAGGTCGGCGGGGTCAGGGTCCAAAAACACTTGGAATTTGCCACATTTCTGAAATTCGGTGGCACCCCTCACGCAGATCGGCGGGGTCAGGGTCCAAAAACACATGGGATTTGCTACATGTTTGAAATTCGGTGGCACCCCTCACGCAGATCGGCGGGGTCAAGGTCCAACAACAAAAAAGATGTGCCACATTTCTGAAATCCGGTGGCACCCCTCACGCAGATCGGCGGGGTCATGGTCAAAAAACACATGGGATTTGAAACATTTCTGAAATTCGGTGGCACCCCTCACGCTGATCCGTCTTACGGCCCGCGGCTTCAGGGAGCGGGCCCCGCCTTACGGCCCGCGGCTTCAGTTCTTTTCTGCAGCACAAGCCATTCGCCTTCGGGCACATAGTCAACTCTTCTTATTTGAAGATTGTTGCCAGCAGTATCATTCTAAAATGCATAGTTTCCAATAGCTCGAACCAATTCCGCACCACCTCTAAGAGGTATTCCGTGACATGCGCATCTTGCCGTTGCAAGGTTTGTTCACACGGGCGCGTGCTTCTACAGACCGCCAGGTTTCTTGGATCAGACCAAGCATGCCATTTTCCTTTGCCTGAATGTTGCGTTTGGGGGAGAAAAAAAACAACTCACGCTGATCCGTAGGGTCAGGGTCCAAAAACAGAAGGGATTTGCCACATGTCTGAAATTCGGCGGCACCCCTCATGCAGATCGGCAGGGTAAGGGTCGAAAAACAAATAGGTCCCGACACTGCTTCACGACAAAGCCAAAGCCTCATGACTTCGCTCTTCCATGGCCCATTCTCCGAGAGAGGGGGCCGGCGGCAGGGGGCGAAGCCCTTACGGATAACCAGCCAATGGAATTGCTTGCATGCGCGCCTGCTCTGAGAGACGCACGTGTGTTTGTGCATGTGCGTTTGCGTGGGCATATCGGTGACGAGCCCGAGATCGCTTCGAAGCATCTTTGGAACGACTTTGGAGCTGCCGACCCCCAAAAGGAAAGTACAAGTGTATGACTTGAAAGCACGTGCCTTGCCATACCTTCCCTTACCTTCTCGTGATCTCTCGCAACTTCTAACCCCATCAACCGTACGCGCTTAGGTTGGTCAGCTACCCATCCTCTTCCGCCCCACCTTCAGGCCGTCCACATCACCCTCCTCAGCGAGTGCAAAGGCTGCATCTGCGAAGATAGCAAGACCAGGCAAAACCGTGCAGCTCAAAGAAAAAGCAATCCCCGAGAACAGACGTCTCAGGCGATACGGCCGTCTGGCACACAGATCCAGGTGCCACCAGCACCGGGGGCGGGTGCCATTGAGGGCCTCTGCAAAGAATCGCAATTGATCAGCAGAGGACGAAGTGAAAAACAATAAGAGATCAATGGAGCAATCGCGCGACGAGACGCTTGGTCACGCCGCCCGTCTAGCGATCACGACTGCAGACCTGAGAGATCTGCCACAATAAACATATTAGATCAGCGGCGTTACAACCCGTTTGGAAGCTGTTACACTTGCAGACACAAACGGCATGGAATCTGTGCGGAGAGGGAAAGGGGTAGTGCGGAAGGGTGAAGAACGTTGCAGAAGGAAGGTGGGGTCGTTAAGGCGAGTGATTCGACGTCCCAGATTGGCACACCATTTCGCAACTCATAGCTCCGCTCCTGGCCTCCCGTCGCAAACAGAGAGACTGGTGCTGTGCATCTAAATTGCACTCGCCTTTGCTGCACACGTACGCGTGGGTTCCACGGTTGCCTTCCACTGCCCAGTTGCAACCGCGAACAAGCATGTAGATCTGCAAGACACACATCAAACATGTATCACACGTTGCACCCGCAGAAGAACCAATCACGAAACAATAAATCAGATACACGCACATCATGCCTGCACTTAGCATGACATAGTGTGTCTGCAGGCAATAATCACGCGCCCTACTATTATGCAGAAGTCTGATTCACTGTGCATTCGCAGTGCTCACACTGAACATGCGCGGCGAACACACTTCGCTACAACATATTGTTTGCAATGACTCGAGCATCATTCGCCACACAGTACCAAAACCCTCATGGATATGAGCAAGGAAACGTCTTCAGCCACACTGTCACACAAAAATTCATACTGGCGGCTCTGATCAACCCACCCTTCAGAAGGCCGATGCAAGAAACTTAAAAAGCAGTGCGAAGGGAAGGCTAGACATCCTGAGGGGTTTAGGTCTCTTGTGATCTCCCCAGTGCGGAAGCGACGGGTCCGTCGTGGACAAATGCGCAAAAAGGATTTGTCGCCGCACGGGCCTTGGAAGAAATGAATTAAATGAGTTGTGCGATGAAGATGGGCGCGCCGTGGACACTTCATGTCAAGCACGTGCGGCGCACAATATTGTGGGTGCCACGGCGACGGGGGGTGGCCACACGAATGGACAGTACATAACCACGCAGGTTGGAAACGGTGCGATAGCGACCGGCGAGGCCGACACTGATAGACAATTAGCTCGCTTCCGAAACGCACCGCGCGGTGCGAACGGGGGGATGGCCAGATAGATAGACAAAACAAAGCCGTTCATGTTGGCCTGGCCAACGGTGCGACAGCGACCGGCGAGGCCGCGACAGATACACTGCTTGCTCCCCCCCCCTAGCCCGGCGCGACGGCGACGGACGGTGGTCTGACCCATGGACCCCGCCTGCGGTGGACATATCAAAAATGCGCAGCCAACGGCGGTGCCAGGGCAAATCAGCGTGCTCAGGGCCCCCCAGGGTCTCCCAGGATACCACAGAAGGCACCGCGGCCACCACTGCACCACAAAAGGCACCGCATTCAAGGCCTCAACACGAAGTGATGCATTCCGACCCAATACGTTTCCCGTGCGAAGCAGCAGGCACCATGCAGATGACCCACTGGCGGATGGGTCATCCAAAAAATGGTTGGGAAAAACTGTTCTACTTGCATTCTGGTCCTCCCCCCCTGTTCACTCGGCGGTGGATAGGACTGGTCCGAAAACCCCTTCCTCCTCCTCCTCCCCCCGCTCGCCCTTCCTCCTTCTCCTCCTCCTCCTCCTCCTCCTTCTTCTCCTCCTCCTCGTTGGCCCCGCTCCACGCGGCCTGAACGGCCACTGTGCCTTTGCAGCTGCTCATCGTGCTTGGGCTCAGTATCTATATCGTCCCTTCGGCTGTTCATCGTGCTTGGGCTGGCATCTTGTGGGCTTGGCATCTCTTGCTGCGGCCTCGCCGTGGCACTCACAGGCGTCACCTCCTCGACGCCCTTCAAGGCCATGGTGCACCCGAAGCTTTGGAGGAGCGAGGCCGCAAGCCTAAGATGAACGGCCTGGCGCGCAGGGATTTTGTTGGGTGTCAGTATTTCACATGAGCGGCCCCCCGCGCAGGGCTTCTGTTGGGCCTCAAATCAGATAAACGGCCCCGAGTGCGGGGTGTTGTTGGGCGTTCTGGCTATGTCAATGGTATTGCATTCTGGCCGTTGGAGGCCGTCGGTGGCGGCGTGGCTTGATGAGGCATTTGTTCTCATGTTTTTCTTCGCCGATTTCGGTTCCTGTGGCACGCGCAACTTTGTTCGTGCAAATATTGATGGCGCTGGCGGGCAGGCCGGTTGGCGCAGCTGGCGGAGTCGCTGCACCTCATGCTGCAAAAGAGCGTGCCGAGACGAGGGAAAGCTTGTGTGAGGGCTCCTCTCTCCTTCTCCTCTTCAACCTCTCTCACAGGCCAGAGTCTTGCGCCGCGCCCGCCTCGGTCTTCGGCCTTCGTCTTTATTAGCTAATGAATTTTGGTAGCAGCGATAACCCGCTTGAGACTTCTCTAAAACAAAATTCGACCAGGATCGACGTTTTCGAGTTCAACATCGAGATCGCGCTTCCGCCCAAGACCGCCCCAAAAACAGAAGTCGAAACCCGGTCGGTTCAAAGTCAAAACGACGATTCCGCCCATGACGCCCCCACCGCGTTGAATTCAAACCTTTACAATTCGAAAGGAAGCGGGGTGGGTTGCTGCTCGCGGTCCCTGGTGCTCAATGGCGCGATGGTCCCTTCCCCTGCGCGCCGTTGGGGACTTCGTGCGGTTCCTCCCTCCCTCCCATCCTCTCCTCCGTAGCGGCTATGTGAGTTCTGTTTTCACACGGATGGAGGGCTGCTGGCGGCTGCTCCTTCACAGCCCAGGGCTCCCGCCGCACGCAGGCGGCCCAGGTCGCTCGTTGAGCGTGCCCTGCCCTCCTCCTCGTCCTCGTCGTCATCCTCCTTCCTCGTGCCGGCCACGTCTCACGATTCTTAGTGGCACTGCGAGTGCCTCACTTGCTTGGGTCAGGGGCGCTCGCCCGAAAGCATTTAGTGTTCAAGTCGCTACGTCGTCCGTCCGTTCGGCAGCTGTCAACAAACACATCGGCCAACCCTTTTCGCATCAGCGATGCAGTGAGGCACCACGGTGCACGAATCAGGCGTAGCTGAACCGCCTCGCAAAGAAGAAATGATCATGCTGCGCCTGGTACAGGACCCAAGCCCAGCCGAATCGCGCCCAGATTCCAGACGCCGACAAGACGCAACAATAGCGGCGCGCCACCCGTTGAGCACTGCCCATCCCTCGGCACGTCGAACTGCATCCCCATCGATGCGGAACTCTTGTGCTGCAAAAGCATTCGCACGAGACGGACGCGCCTAAAGGAACTTCGCTCGTGAGCCACATGATTGGCCATTGAACGTGGCGGGGCCAGCGTCGCGTCGGCCGCCCATTGGATGGCCCGAGGGTCAGTCTTCCATGCCCGCGACCTCCCACAGGGCGGCGGCGGCGGCGCCTGCTGGGGCTGGGGGAGCGACAATAGACGGCTGCAGCCCCCGCCCCGCAGGCGCCGCTGGACGGCCTGCGGGAACGGCCGCAGAGGCCGCGGCGTAGGGCTCGCGCGCGCCGCTGAGGAGCGTCTGCAGGCCGACCAAGGTGGTGGACACGCCAGCCAGGCCCACTACTCCAGCATTCGCAGATGCCGCAAGCTCGCGCTGAGCTGCAACCACCTCATGCCCGAGGCCCGCAAGCTCTGCCGCCAAGAGATGCTGGCGTTCCAGGAAGATGTCCACCGCAGCCTGCGCCTCGCTGAGGTCCGTGTCGACCTTGGCCTTGTCGGCCTGGGCAGCGGCATGGCGGGCCTGCAGCCCACCGAGCACCTCATGCGAGGTCTGCGACCTGAGCTCATCAGTCCCCTGAGCTGCCATCTGGCGGGCGGCGCGGCTACGACGAGCGAACGGTCCTCATCGTATTGCTCGGACCACCGCTGGGCTGTCGACAAGTCTGCCGCCCCGGGAAGCGCAGCACCGCAAGCAGCACCAGACACGGCACCTCGAGCAACGGTCCGACGGGGACGCCCCACCGACGCAAAGCAAGGCCGCGTTGCGTCGGAGCCCGAGGGAGACGACCAGATCGATCGCGCACACACTTCCAGCACGTTGAGCGGGAGGTGAAGTTCTTGCGAAAGCCACGAAGCCTCGAGGCGACGCGCGGCCAAAGGCTCCTGCGGCGCAGCCAGTCGCCACGACGCACCTGACGGCAGACTGGCGCCTGACGCCATGGCTCCAACGCCCACGCACAAACGCTCGCCCTGGTCCCGCGAAACGGAGCCGGCGTCCCCGAGCGCAGCGAAGTAGGTCGCAGGCCTCCTTGCGCCTCCGCCGCTCGCGCCGAGGTCAAGCAGGCGAGCGCGACCTCTGGCGCTCGGAGGGGATGGGCGTGCACCAGCGTCCGCGCGTCGAGCAGCTGGCGTCCGGGGACAGGTGGAAACGCGCCCAACCCCCCGCCCCAGCGGGAAGGGGGCTCGGAGCCCAGGACGGCAGCTTGGGAGGAGGAGAAGGGAGAAGCAGAAGGGAACGGCTCCCACAACAGCCTCAAGAAAGTATCATTGCACACAGCTGCACCCGCCCCGCGCCACCGCGCGCAAAGCAGAACACTGCGGCGGCGTTGGATATGCCCACAGGCGCGGCGCCCTCGAAACCAATGCAACATTGACTTCGCCATGGGGGCCACAGAAACGCGAAAACCTACAACCCGGGAACCTAACACATGATATCGACAGACGGCTGAAAGAGCAAACGGAAATGCGATCTGGGCAGACGGGGATACCCACTGTGCGTCGCCTGAACCGTTTACAACTACACTACGGGGTTGTGATAAACATACCAAATGTTTCACAGAGAAGTTCTCCCCTGAGGCCGAAGACCGCCGCATTATATATTATTCCCGTGCACCCCTGCCGAATGGAAGAACAGAAGTGGTGCGCCCCAGCCTGCGCATGGGCCAAGAAGGGTAGGCGCGCTGGGACGAACAAGGGCAAGATTTGGAGGTATAAAATGGGCACCAACCCAACACAGGTGATCCTGGATTCTGGCGCTGGTTGTAATAGTTCGGAATCCCACATAGTACCACCATTACCGAAATCGGGAGCATCTTCCCTCGATGGAGGCACGCCGCCGATATTGGTACTGGTGTCAAACTCTAGGCCTCCGAAAGATGGCAGGATAAAACGCAACAAGTTATTATACTGCGAGAACCACGGGACTTGCAATGTTCCGAGGTGTTCTGATCATCCGACTTGCCAGAAGCATGGCTGTATCTGGGAAATCTCTCCTGATGCGCGAGCTCCTGTTCTTCCCCATCCACCGCGCCCTCCTCCGCCTTCACCTGCCAGTGTTCTCTTCCCCAGCCCGTCGTTCTCCACGCCTTGGCCCCCTCACCATCCTCGCGTTCTCCCCCCCGTCACGTTTTCTTCCTGCCCCTTCCAGCCAGCAAGCGAGGCCGCGATGGTGACAACCGTAATGGAGAACTGGTGCGGCTCCAACCACCTTCAGTCCCCCGTCCACCTCCTCCTGGAGGCACCCCACTGGAGAGCAGCCTTAACGAAATTGCTCTTGGTTTCCTCGTCCTCGTCCTCGTATTCCTCATGCACCTGGTCACAGTGAGGGGGCCGACAGGTCATTCACTGTCCCTGGGTGCGTGGCTGAAGTGGGATTCCACGATGCGGATTATTCTTGTTGTTGTTTGTTTGTCGTTGCTGCTTGGCGTCGTCCCCCCAGCGACCTGGCCCGCGACCCACCCGCGACCCATCCCGCGACCCGCCCGCGACCCACCTGCGACCCACCCGCGACCCACCCCGCGAACCACCCCGCGACCCACCCCGCGACCCGCCCGCGACCCGCCCGCGACCCACCCGCGACCCAACCGCGACCACCCGCGACCCACCCGCGACCCACCCGCGTCCCACCCGCGACCGGGCCCGCGACCCATCCGCGATCCACCCGCCACCCACCCGCGACCCACCCTCATTGCTTTAGCGAAAAATCGGCGCCTGCGGCGGACTCGTTGTATAATTTGCGAAAAATAAGCGCCTGCGGCAGGCTTCTTGACAGCGTCGCAGACTGCAGACGTCCCCGCCGCCCCCTCACTCTTATCCGCGACTGCGGGCTGCTACGGTTTGCATGACGTGCTCCGTCGTACCTCCTCTGTCGGGAGGCCACCGAGCCTAGAGAATTACAAACATGGGGCGGCAACTACCTGCATGTTTAGTTCACAAGCATTCGCATAAATTCAAATCGACAATATATATATATATATATATATATATATATATATCCGCCGGCCCCCTTGTGGGGCCACCAGGCTGTAGGCCCGTGATTCGCAGTTTCCTGTACCAGTTGTAGTTTCTAGTTTCCAGTGTTTCTTGCTGGTTACTGTAACTAGTTGACTTCTTGCTGGTTACTGTAACTAGTTGATTGACCGCGCGAGGGGGGGGAGGCCCAAACAGGATTTTCCAGCGTCCCCTGGGCGCGTTGTCTGAATTGCTGGGGGGGCTCGAAATCGACACCCCTCACGCAGATCCGCGGGGTCAGGGTCCAAAAACACAAGGGATTTGCCACATTTCTGAAATTCGGTGCCACCCCTCACGCAGATCCGCGGGGTCAGCAGGTCCAAAAACACAAATTTTTTCTGAATTCTTCGCCACCCCTCACGCAGATCCGCGGGGTCAGGGTCCAAAAACACATGGATTTGCCACATTTCTGAAATTCGGTGCCACCCCTCACGCAGATCCGCGGGGTCAGGGTCCAAAAACACATGGGATTTGCCACATTTCTGAAATTCGGTGCCACCCCTCACGCAGATCCGCGGGGTCAGGGTCCAAAAACACAGGGGATTTGCCACATTTCTGAAATTCGGTGCCACCCCTCACGCAGATCCGCGGGGTCAGGGTCCAAAAACACAGGGGATTTGCCACATTCCTGAAATTCGAACCCATCACGCACATCCATCGCAAGGCGTGGTAACCCAAACTGCGAGAACTCCCTCGGCCCGTTCATCGCAAGATGTGGTAACCAAGCCCTTAAACCATACACGTCTTACCAATCGCCAGGTGTGGTAACCCCTCTTGTGATCAGTTGGTTTTGCTGATTGCGACTCGGCTTCGCATGAAGTTTCGATACTGCTTCACGACAGCGCCAAGGCCTCATGACTTAGCTCTTCCATGGCCCATTCTCCGAGAGAGGGGGCTGGCGGCAGGGGGCGAAGCCTTTACGGATATATATATATATATATATATATATATATATACACACACACTAGAACCACGCGGGCGCTTCGCGCGCGTAGGTTCTAGCACGCCCCAAGCCATGACAAATTCACTGCTCCGTTAAATAGTGGACCACAGATGGTTTGAACGGGAAGTGAAGAGGTGCCCATAACGCTGAACGCATTATCGGCAGTGAGAAGTCCACGCATGTCAATCCGCATTCCCGGAGGCTTTCGGGGAAGACCGTTACGTAGGGGGGCGGAGGCCTGATGAATCCTGGGAACATGGTTTTTTGGGGCGTCTGCGGAAGCCTGTTGGGGCGTGGGTCGTCGTTGTAATGTCGTCGTCGCCTCTTGGGGCGCGCCGCCGTCGTCGTCGTCGTCGTCGTCGTCGTCGTCGTCGTCGTCGTCGTCGTCGTCGTCGTCGTCCGTAGCCATTTTGGCTCAAGATGCTGCACTTGGAGGCTGCAAGCCTCCAGGCGAAAGGGCATACCTCTGTTCTGAGGCCAGCTACTCAGTCGTCGCGCGCGTGGGCGGGCGCAGTGTACGGGGTCGGCAAGCCATGGGGCGTGGCGGACCGCGCGGGAAGTACACGGTGTGCTGGAAATGCGGCGCCTGGACCTGGGACGACCTCTTGCGCAAAGACATGGGGTTTTGCTGCTGCGGCGCCTTCGTCGGGATCCCCGCGCTCGGACCTTGGGCTGACGGTCCACCTGGCGGCGGCGGGAAGGGCGGCAAGGGCACCAAGGGCACCAAGGGCGGCAACGGCAGGCTCGACAAGAGCGACAAGGGCGGCAAAGGAGGCAAAGGCGGCAAGAGTGAGGATGGAGGATGGCAGCACCCGACCTCTATTGAGGAGTTCATCCCGGTGCTGGAGGGGTTCGACCCTGCTGCGGCGGAGGCGCTGCGTGTGCAGCAGCAGGAGGCGAAGACCAAGCAGCAGGTCCAGGAGAAGCCGAAGGAGCCGCCGAAGAAGTCCTGGGATGTCCTCGACAGGGCCAGGGTCCAGTACAAGAGAAAGCAGAAAGCGATGCACGGAGTAAAGAAGAGACTCGAGGACCTACGCGCGGCGCTCGACAGGGTCCATGAGGAGTACGAGGGGGTACTCGAGGAGCTGGTCAACGCTGAGTGCGAGTACGTCGAGGCTACGGATGCCTGGAACGTCGAGCGCCGGGGCACACAAAATAAGGAGTGTCCAGAGGAGGACTGCCTCACCTTCTAGCTGCCCGCGAAGCTGCAGGACCTGGAGGCATTTGAGGATGATGGAGTCAAGGCTGAGGTGCAGCAGTTCCACGCCCAGGTCGTCGACCTACAGAACCAGGCCAAGGCAAAGCAGGAGGAGCAGAGGCGCAAGGAGGAGCAGCAGAGGAAGGAGGAGGCCGACGTGCTGGCCCACGCGAAGGAGCGGTCCAAGCAGCTCAAGTCGCTGGTGGAGCAGCTCCAAGCAAAGGCCAGCGGCATGGTGCGGAAGAAGCGCAAGGTGGACAGCGACGGCCGAGAGGCAGCAGGAGAGCCAGGAGCTGCCTCAGGAGGCGAGGCGGCTGGAGGCGGCGCTGAAGCAGGCCCAGGAGCAGGATCAGGCGGCGCGGCACCAGCGGCAGCGGCGTCAGGCAGAGGCGGCAAGGGCGGCAAGCAGAAAGGGAAAGGAGTGGACCCCAACCTGGGAGAGAAGCTGGTCAGGTGCTCCGCGGAGACCAAGGACAAGTTTGAGTCCTTGGAGGCGGCCGCTGCTGCTCGGAGGGCTGCTGCTGGCGGCAGCGCAACCCGAGGCCAACCGCCGCGCGGGTAGTGCGGAGCTGCCAGGCGCGCGAGCCATGGGAGGCAGCCAGCTGGGGCTGGCAGACTACATCGACGAGGAATACAACTACAAGAAGGAGCCGCCCTGGTGGCGCCTCAAGCCCACGGCAGCGGAGATCGAGGTGGAGTCCCTCAGCGACAGCGGACCAGAGGACGGCAGCGAAGCGGCTCGGGCACGCGACGGACACGTGCCCCTGAGGGCGATATGTCCCTGCATGGTCAGACCTGGCGCACAGAAGGACCCCCGGGGCAGCGGGGCAGGTGCGCCGCAGGACAGCAGCAGCGGGCATGCGCTGCAGGAGGCTGAGGAGGCGTGGGCGCCCCTCAACGGAATTGGATTTCGACGGCGGCGCCGCCGGGGGGACGGCGCCGGAGTTTCGGCCAGGCTCGCAGGACAGCCTTGCGACGAACAAGGCAGATGCCAGCACTGCCCAGTGGCGCCGCTGGAGCCGCCGGGGAGGGCGCTCGGCCGCGCCGGGGCCGCCGGCGCCCGCCCGTGCGCCGCCAGGGGTAGCCCGCCGCCGCCGCCGAGGTCGCCGAGGCCGCCGTCGCTGGAGGGCCCAGGGGCCATGGCAGGCTGCCGAAGGCAGGAGCTGGAGATCTGGTCCGCCAACACCAACTCGTGGGCCTCGGCCGTGCGCCTGCTGGAGGAAGGCCAGCAGAAGGGCATGAGGGCCCCAGAGGTGGTGTGCTTGCAGGAGCACCGCTGCAAGACGGTGTCGTCCGTAAGGGCGGCGCAGCGCTAGGCCAGGATGAGGAGCATGAGGTGCAGTCCAGGGCTGGGCTGGCGCGGCCGACGGGCGAGGGGCCGCTGGAGTCGTCCGGGGGCACAGCGGTGCTGGCCACCAGAGGGCGAGGCAGCGCGCCTGTGTCAGGAATCGGCGAGCGGTGGCAGCATAGGTGGTCGGCGGCCCGCCTGGACATGGGACTCGCTGAATCGTCGTCGCGGGCTCGATCTACCTCGAGCACAGCGTGGGCATAACTGGCGGCAACGTGGAGCTCCTCGCTGAGCTGGCTCAGCTGGTCGCCAGCTGGAGGCTGCCCTGGGTGCTGGCGGGGGACTGGATAATGGAGCCCGCATGGCTGGTCGAATGGGCCGAGAAAGTCGGCGGCGTCGTGATCAATTGCGGGGTCGCCACGATGGGGACGAGCGAGTTCGATTACTTCGTGGTGGCCAAGGAGCTGGAGGGCTTCATCGAAGAGGTCACGCAGGTGCAGCATGTCGCGGGCAGCCCGCACAGGCCTGTTCGGCTGGTCCTCCAGGGCTTGGGCAGGAAGGCGCAGGTCCGATCGCCTGTGGAGCCCAAGAGGGTGCCGCTGGACCTGCCGCCGCCGAGCCGACGCGGGCGCCACCGGCTGAACGGACAACCTGGACGTGCCCCGCGAGCGTGGAGGATGCGTGCGGTGCGTGGTACAGCGCAGTCGAGGACTACTTCCACCGACCTCCACGACGTGGGCGAGGTGCGCACCAGGCGGGCGGCAGGGTTGCAGACGCGGCTGGAGGACCTGCCGACTGCCTGGAAGAGGAGCCTGTGGTCGTGGGCGAGCCCCAGCACCAACTGCCGGGGGGTGCGCGTGGCGGCCGTGCTGCGCCTGCGGAGCATGGCCGGAGGAGCAGGGGCCAAGGCGCAGAAGGCGATGAGGCAAGCGGAGGAGGACCTTCGCTCGTGCAAAGGAGGCGAGGCGGAGGCATGGCCGAAGAAGGGCCCCCTATCCGGAGGAGTGGAGGCAGTGCTGGACACCATCCTGCACGGGAGCGACGCCGCCCAGCAGGATGTCGTGGAGGCCGCCCAGGCCGAGCTGAGGAAAGGAATTGAGGCCGAATGGCAAGGCGGCGGCCAGGAGCTGGCGCGATTGGGCGCAAAGGCCGTGGCGGAATGCGGAGGAGCCACGGCGTACCGCTTCCTAAAGCAGGACGACAGCGAGGACGAGGACCCGTGGCAGGAAGGCGGGCCCGTGGCTGGGACCAAGGCGCTCGAGGTGGCGCTGGAGGCATGGCTGCCGTTGTGGCAGAAGGAGAGCCGGCGCTGCGAGGAGCACCCGCAGGATTGGGCCCGCGGCGAGGCTCTCCAGCCCATCACGGGTGAGCAGGTTCGCGGGGTGCTGTCGGCATATGGGCCGCGCGCAGGGCTGGGCTGGGACAAGCTCCACCCGCAGGCCTTGCTCCAGCTGCCGCCCAGCTACTGCGACAGGCTCGCGGAGGTCCTCAACATGTGGGAGCGGCAGGCGGGGCCAGTCGGCCTCTGGGCCACCATCGTGGTCTTCCTTCCAAAGGCCGAGGGCGGCGTGCGACCCATCCACCTGCTCGGCTTCGGCATGAGGCTCTGGAGCCGCATCCGCCAGCCGACTGCGGCCCGCCGGGAGCAGGAGCTCACGGGCAAGGGCCACTTCTGGGGTAAGTCGCAGACGCTCTACGACATGGCGGGGATGGTCTCCAACCTCCTGGCGTGCCACGCGCGGCGGCTGGGCCTGGCGCACGGGACGGGGCTGCTCAACTTGGCCAAGTTCTGCGAGCACGTCTCGCACGCGGTGCTCCGGAGGGAGGCGGCGCTGGTCAGTTTCCCAGCGGAGCTGGTCAGGCTTCTCTGCATCAGCTACCGGATGCCGAGGAGGGCGAAGCTCGGGGCGTCGATCAGCAACGAGATCTTCGCCAACGGAACGCTGGCAGCGGGCTGCTCTTGCGCGACGGCGCTGGCGAAGGTCCTCATGCACGGCACACTGCAGGTGCTGGGGCAGGCGTACCCCATTGTGCGGTTCCAGAAAGTGGTGGACGACGTGCTGGTGCAGGCGGCAGGCGGAGGGCGGCAAGTCAGGGACCAGCTCCCGCAGGCCATGGGCACCTCGTCCACTTGTTGCTGGGCAAGGACCTGGCCGCGTCCTGGAAGAAGGCCAAGTCAAGTTCATGGCAGGCGACGGCGAGACTGCGGAGGCCATGCGTGCCGGCCTCGCAGAGGAGGGGCTGCAGGTGGAGCGAACCTCGGGTGCCAGGAACCTGGGCTGCGATGCGACCGACGGCCGCTGGCGGCGCTGTGCGGAGCAGGACAAGCGGCTGGAGAAGGCCAGCAGGGCGACGGCGCAGGTCAGGAGGCTGCGCGACGCAGGAGCGGCCGGCACCGGCAGGATCCAGCGAGGCAGCCCCACGGCGGCGGCGCTGTGGGGCGTGGCGGTGACGGGGCTGCCCGACGGGAAGCTCCACGCGGTCCGGATCCAGGCGTGCCGCGCGGAGGGCAGGCTGCCGAAGGGCTCGGTGGTGACGTTGAGGAGCCGGGCTACGCAGGGGGCATGGCGACGAGACCCGTGGGTCATAACCAGCGCCGAGGTTGCGATAGCCTGGAGCACCTGCGTGGCCGCCAGCCTGGTGCCGCGCGGGGCCCTGTTGGGCTGATGGGAGGAGGCCAAGGAGCTGCCCGCCAGGAAAAACACTTGGCAAGCCTGCCGCAGCCCTGCGGACGTGGCGGTGCTGAGCATGGCTCGCATCGGGATCCGCATGCCCACGGCCACGCAGCTCCTGATGCCGACGGGCGAGGCGCTGGGCCTGGAGTGGCTGGCGCCGGGCATGGTCAGCATGGTGGCGCCCAGGACGGCCAGCTGGGCGGCCGACGTGCGGGCGCTGCCATCCCTGGGGCCCAGCTCGGGCTGGGGGGGCCCATCCACTGGCGGCACATCGAGGAGCTGCAGAGTGAAGAGGCCAGCGAGACCTGGAGTGTGGTCCACCAGAGGGCGCTGCGGTGCGGGGTCGGCGGCTCCCAATGGTCCCAGGCGAAGCTCTACCACAAATGGTTGGTGGCCTCAGACCTGTGCAGGATTTGCTGGCGAGAGCGGAGCACCCTGTGGCACAGGCATTTCGCCTGCGATGCCACGGCGGCGGAGCGCCGCGACGGCTGCCCGCCCCTGGTGCTGGCGGCGGCGAGGAGCGTGCGAGAGTGTGGCGAAGATATGGGCGAGCGATTTGCCAGGGGCCTGTTCCCCGAGGTCACGCAGGGGTGGCTGCAGCCGCACGCGAGAAACCGACGTGGATGAGTTCGAGTGGATCGTGATGCCACCGCTGGGAATCGTCACTGGGGCGGTCTTCACGGATGGCTCGGCGACGGACCCCAGTGAGGAGGCGCTCAGGAGGGCGGGCTGGGCCGTCGTCATGCTGGCCGACGATGGCACGGTGCTGGGGGCAGCGTGCGGGACGGTTCCCCTGGCCTGGACCCCCCTACAGCAGGCCAGGGACGGCGAGGACTATGCCGTCCACGTGCTGTCCGGCAGGGCCGCGGCGCCGCTCGAGGTGCACATCGACTGCCAGGGCACCGTGGACTGCGCCCGCAGCAACGGCAAGGCGCTGGCCATGAGTAATTAACGCCAGACGCCACATGTGGTGGCGCTGGTGGGCGGAGATGGACGGCGGCGAGGTGGCGGTGGTCAAGGTCAAGGCTCACCGGACAGTGGGCGAGTGCCCGAGCCTGCACGAGGAATGGACCAGGCGAGGCAACGAGCTCGCCGACACCTACGCCAAGAGAGGAGCGGCGAAGTGGCAGACCAGGGCCGAGCGGGCCTGGTGCGCCAGGGGGGCCCACAGCCTCGCCAAGCAGGCCGCCAGGTGGGTAGGCCAGTCGACCGTCCTGATGCAGGCGAGGGAGGTCAGTGACACGGAGGGCCTGCCCCAAGGCGGCATGGTGGAGCTGGACGTGGCTGAGGGCAGCGGCGAGGAGCCCAGGAGAACGCCAGCGATGGGGGGAGTCACAGGATCCAGCCAATTCCTGTGGCCCAGTCCCCGCGGCCAAGCGGCACGGCGAGGCTGCCCAGGCGGCCGGCCCGTCTGGGCGCTGGCAGCCGAGGCGGGAGCTTGGCCACCATCTCGTCCAGGTGGGCGACTGCACGCAAGGCCAGGAGGTGGGCATCGGCTGCCAGGCGTGCGGCGCCTACGGAGCAGCAGATGGTCTGGTGCGGCTGCGGAGGAGGAAAGAGCTGCTGTTCCAGGAGTGCCGCGGCGGCCGTGCCCCTGGCTCGAGGGAGCAGAGGAGGAGGATGGACATGGGCAAGCACCCGCTCCCGTCCCGTGCGGAGGAGCGCGCCGTGGTCTTCGGGGGATCGCCCAGGCGGCCTGGGACGAGGCGCGAGGAGGCCAGGACGAGAGCAGGCGGCAGGGGGCCGCCCAGCAGGTGTACGGCACCGAAGTGGCCTTCTGCTGCGAGGGCCTCGCCCTCAAGGCGTATGGCCTCTCCGCCGAGGAGGCCGTGCGCCTCGGCCGCGAGGAGGAGGAGGAGGCCGAAGCGAGGAGGAGGCGTGCCCGGGCCGGAGCCCGAGGAGGAGCCCGACCCGTGGTGAGGCGGCATGCCGAGGCCGCCGAGAGGCCTGAGCAGGAGGGAGAGGTGGTGGAGGAGGAGGCCGAGCAGGAGGCTTACCTGGGGTAGGAGGCCGTTTACCTCAGGTCTGCTCGCCTCCCTCTGCCTGCTGGAGGGGAGACCGCGCAGGAGTTTGCCGCCGCCTGAGTCGTCGTCGTCGTCGTCGTCGTCGTCGTCGTCGTCGTCGTCGTCGCCGTCGTCGTCGTCGTCGTCGTCGTCGTCGTCGTCGTCGTCGTCGTCGTCGTCGTCGTCGTCGTCGTCGTCGTCGTCGTCGTCGTTCGGCGGTAGTGGTGCCCGCTTGCGCGCGCCGCGTCCGCCGCCGAGGGATTCCTCGGCACTACGTTGGACCGTTGGACCGTTGGACCGTTGGACCGTTGGACCGTCGTCGTCGTCGTCGTCGTCGTCGTCGTCGTCGTCGTCGTCGTCCTCGTCCTCGTCCTCGTCCTCGTCGTTTCGTCGTTTCGTCGTCTTCGTCGTCGTCGGATGGACCCCTCCCGCGATCCATCCAGCGCAGTTTTCCACTCCAAATCGAAGCCCGACAACCCGAGGGCCCGACAAAGGCCCCCAAAGGCAGAAAGCGCCGAACAACCGTTTCGAAATTCGAAGTTCATCGTCGTCTTCGTCGCCGCCGCCGCCGCCGTCGTCGCCTTCGTCGTCGGCAGACGTCGGCAGAGAAGGCGATCAGTCATGTCCCCAGTCAACTTCCCAGCGCGATGGTACTTCGGACCCTCCGGAAACTCTCGGGCCCACGACGAACCATGTCACCGGAAGGCCTTCTGGGGGCATGATTTGTTGGTGTGTGTTGGGAGGCCTCTTGGGCGTTCCCTGGAAGCCCCTTGGGGGCCTCTCGGGGTTTCCTGGGGGCCTCTCGGGGCTTCTCAACCGCCTCTTGGGGGCCTCCGGGAACCTACTGGCGGCCTCTAGGGCCAGACCTCAAAATATCGGTTCGCGGTCCCCCTCCGGGACCCTGTTGGGGCGCTCTTGGGGCACACTTGGGTTGTCTGGGGAGCCTCCTGGGCCGTGTTGCGGCCCACTTCGGAGCCTCGTGGGCCGTCTTGGAGCGATCTGAAAAGCCTACGAGGCCGTGGGGGTGCGTCGGGAACCGGGAAAAGCGAGAACGCCAAAATCCACAGAAAAACCCTCGGAACACGTATGAATGTTGCCTCCCAGCCCGCTTGGGGAGCCTTTTGAAGCCGTCCGGGAGCGCGTTGGGGTCCTCGTCGGCCGTTTTGAAAACATTTTGGGCGTCTTCGGGGCCTTTTGGGGCTGTCTTGGGCCGTCTTGGGACCTTAGCTTGTCGCGGCCCGTTTCGGAGCGGGCCCGGGCCTTTTCGGGACCTGTGGGGCCCCCGCAAAACCCCCGGGGGGCGCCCATGGAAGGTGCAGGCACCGGCCTGGCCAGTTTGAAGTGTGGTGGTAACCCTGACCATATACTGCGTCGTAGACGTAGCCGCTCATTCGGTCCATCGCATCGCGGTGGCGATAGGGCAAGAGAGAAGAGATGACAGCGCAAGCGGCAGGACGGTAGCATATCAAGAGTACAAAAGTGGAACCTTTCCCGCGCCGATGCTTGATAGTGTGTCGCGGCGCGACACGGCCATATCGGCGGCCGGACGCTTTGGCCTAAATGGCCGCGGACAAACGAACGCTACTTCTCGCCTTTGCCCCTCCTCCTTCAGAAGTGGGGAGGGGAGACGAAGCGTGTGTCCGCGTCCAGCCATAATTTGGAGAAACAGCTACAGTGCAAGGAAAGGCGGACCCTCGCGATTCTAGAGCGCGGCGGGCTTACACCGAATCTCATTACTCCGCAAGCGGTTCAGATGTTTTCGTCTGGCAAGCCCTGCATGGGATATGTCGTTTCAAGTCATGCTTGAAACATTGCATCCCGTCCATAACCTGTAGGAGCATATGACGATCAATGCCCCCCTTGGCGTGGCCATCTGCGGTCGTGTCGCGGGCGTCGCACCACTTCGCGTTATGCAAGATACCGCGCTCCATCATCTGTGGCAGCCAACTGATGTGACCCAGAAGTGTGACTCAGTCGGCTTCTTCAGGCCTTTGCTTGACAAGGATTGGAAAACAAAAAAAACTCCCGAATCGATGGTCAGGGTAACCTTGGGGCTGAGGCCGCCCATCTCATGAGCGTTCCTCAACTGAGTGGGTGTCAGCGGCCGTGACGATCGCGGGATAGCAGTCCTCCAAATTGTGGGCTGCTGCGAGCGCTTCCGCCGGATAGCTGGAACGGACCTGCGGTCGGTGCGACTCGCAGTGCGCGGCGACCAGATGGACGACAGGCTTGCCAGCAGGCGCGTGCCCATGCCGTGGCAGGTTTGCCCTGCGAATACCATTGCCTTTGACCTCATCATCGGCACCGCTGTTTGAGCGTCGATAGCCGGGGTCGCTGCGCAGGTCAGCCTCGCCAGTTGGCGCCATCGTTTTTTAACAGAAAAAATCTTCCTCGGGCAGACCTACAGCTTCCTGGCAAACGCATGAAATCGTCGCGTTTGCGTGTTGGTCGGTTCTCGGACACGCTGTAGGGGCACAGCATGCACCATTGGCCATGCCTGTGAAATTAGGGCGTAAGACAAAGCGCCTCTGAGGCTGACAAACACATCGGTGAACATCATCGACGCCTTAGCCTCAGCACATGCGCCTGTGTTCGAGGTGCTGGATGCGACTGAGATGTATACATAAATTTATGTATACGTATGTACGTACATATACATATATATATATATATATATACATGTATGTCTATACATGCGTGTGTATATATATGTATTTATGTACACATATATCTATATGTTCGTCTTGATCAACGAGTATCGCTACCATTGTACCTCGCAGCGTACTTGGCGCATATGTTCGCTGAGTTTACATTTCCCAAATGTCCCTTCGACACACTTGACGCATTTGTCAACTGCGTCCTCGGTGCCGGCCACGTTCATGTCATCGACATGTTTGGCGGCGAGAAACCTAGCGCTCGTCTCAGACTTCTCGTGCGAGACGCGGGTCTGAGTCCTGAGTTTCTCATGGTCTCTCTGAGCTTCAGTGGAAAAGCTCTTGGCGCATCTTTGGTGCCTGTGCCTGGTTTGAGACACTGTAGGCAATGTTTCGACTCGTCGTGGCGCTCGCACCCTGGGAGCGATCTGAATGCAGATGCTGGCCCAGGCAGCAAGGTAAAACACACCGCGCGCTCCTCTTCGCCGGTTGATTCAGCGAGCTCGCGGGATGTCCCTCTCAGGAGAGCCATGTTGATCTCGAGGGAAGCAATGATCCACTGCTTTCTGATAGCTGCCGCGCTAGCGAGCAATCGCCGGCTCGACCGCCGCGCCGTCCCTGAAAACGCTTCTACGTCAAAGGCTTCGAGATCCATGAAACCTCGCAGTGCCGGGCGCAACCTGATGGCACGCCCCATGACGCCCTTTTCGGTCATAACGAATAAATTTGCATGCGCATCTCGAACTCATGACGTGTGACGCTCAAGGTATTTCTGTACATTGAAATACTTGTTGTGAAACCATGCCTTGAGTTCAGTGGATGGGGCCTGTGATACCTTGACTGGACGCGCCTGGGCATCCGCCTTCGCGAGGAGGTCGTCCTCCTTGACGACCGCAGCTCTTGCTGCAACGGTCGCATAGACTCGCATCAAGACACAACGGTCGACGTCCATGATCCTGCGCTGTTTTTCGCATAGAACTACCTATACGACCACCCTTCGGGCGATAAGGAGGTTCGGGGGAGGGGAACCAACGTCTCACTCGATCGGTCTCACTTTCGATCTCAATATCGATCTCACTATCGGTCTCGCCCGATCGATCTCACTCGATCGATCTCACAATCGATCTCACGCGATCTATCTCAGCCGACCGATCTCACAATTGATCTCACAATCGAACTCACAATCGATCACACAATCGATATCACATTTGGTCTCAATATCGATCTCACTATCGATATCACAATCGCTCTCATAACCAACGTCATCATCATCATCATCAATCACCAACATCGTCATCATCATGAGGGCACCGTCATCATCATAAACATCAACATCACCGCCAGCATCACCATCGGGACAACATCATCATCATCATCACCATCAACATCTCATCATCACCATCATCATCACCATCGGGACCCAGCCATCGTTATCATCATCAGCAACATCATCATAATCATCATCAGAATCGGGACACCATCATGATCACCATCGTTCCCATCATCAACATTATCATCCACATCTTCATCATCCTCGGGACACCATCATCATCATGATCATCGCATCATCATCGTCGACATCATCATCATCATCAACAACATCATCATCATTGGGGCACCATCATCATCATGAGCAAAGTCATCATCAACAT